ATCCCCTGTTGTGTCTTTCCTTGTGAGTTCGTCCTTCCGTTTCTTGTGTTCTGAAGTTCTTGTGCTGATTTACTTGCTGTGTACTCATGAAATTGTTGTTGTTGTTGTTGTACTTAGTGTTGTTGAGCCGAGGGCTATGCGTGGTTGTGGCATTGAAACTGTTTTGAGGAAATATTGTGGTATATGGGCACATGTTGTGGAAGTCATTTTATTGTGTTGTTATATTTTTGGCACACGTGATATTGTTGGGAGGATTATTCGGGTGTTTGCACGAGGTTTCTGTCCTGCTATTGTTATTGTTGATTTTGCATATGCGGCGTGACAAAGTGGGATATATGTATGGGTTTGCGCATGTGGCGAGACAAGGTGGGAATATTACTATGCGCGAGCGACGAGATAAGGCGGGCATTTACCTTATTATTGCGCATGTGGCGAGACAAGGTGGGCTATGTCGGGGAATGATTTGTGATGACTTGTGATGGCCTGAGGGCATTATTGTTGATGATATTTGTGTAGTGGCGTGCCTACCTTGTGTGAGTTTTACCTTATACATTTTGTGGTGATCGTTTCTTATGTGTCATTCATTGTCTCTACTCTTACTCGTTGGCTTGAACTGTGATAGAACACTTGCACAAGCATACACGTAATTAATCACCCGTATCGGTTTAAGAAGATGAATCCTGAGATTATTGACCATTTATATGTACTCTCGTCTACTTACCTTCTGTGTGAGAGTTCTCTTATTGTTGGCACGTGAGTGGTCCGTGTGGTTATTAGATACTGTCACCCTCTTGGCATGTGAGTCGTCCGTGCAGTTATCAGTTGTAATGTGGGCACAATATGCCAATTGATTAGGGTTCACGAATTGGGATCCGTGTCTTGTGATTTTGAGGTTTGGTACCTCGAGGAAATTCTTAGATAAACCTGGTGTGATAGCGGTTATTTTTATTGAGTTGTTACTTGTTTTTCTTTATTTGGTTTCACCGGATTTAAACTGTGTTCAGCTTACTCTACAGTGTTGTTGCATGTTGTGTCTCGTTGCGAATTGTTGCTTTTAATTTCTATTACAAGCATTGTATTATTATTGTCATCATGCCTAGCATTATCGAGATATTATTCCATGTTAGTTCTACATTTATACTTGTTCAGGTTGTTTAGTCCAGTGGGTGTCTTGACTGTCCCTCGTCACTACTCCACCGAGGTTAGTCTTGATACTTATTGGGTACCGCTGTGGTATACTCATGCTACACTTCTGCATATTTTTGTGCAGATCCAGGTACCTCGGATGTTGTTGATTATTAGCTAGCTGGTCGAGCATTGTTGTGGAGACTTAAGGTAAACCTGTAGTCGCGTTCGCAGGCCTCGGAGTCACCTTCTGAAATTTTACCTTGTATTGTTTATTTTTATTCCGAAACAGTTGTACTTACGAATTTTCTAGCAAACTCAGTAGAGCTTATGACTTGTAATACCGGTTTTGGGATGTTATTTCATGTTGTAAATGTTGGGTTCATTTAGAAATATCTGATTTCTGCTTAATAGTTCTGTTGGTTAATTTCTACCAATTAATTCAGTAAGTATTAGGCTTACCTAGTCGTAGAGACTAGGTGTCGTCACGACATCCTACGGAGGGGAAATTGGGGTCGTGACAAACCCCCTTCTTGTGTCTAGGTATTTCCTAAAATAACAAGAAATATATAAAAAATTTGTGTAAAAAAAGTTATTTCACTCCAAAAATAATAACCGTGTCATATATTAAATGAAATAAAAGGAAGTATTATTAACATAATTGTATTTGAAGAATCAACCTAAATGGTCGCCCATCCAACCATTTAAACTAAAAATAGTTGAGAATGTTTATTGTATGGATAATTATGAATAATATGTATATAACTATGTATAATGAATGTATATTCCATGTATACTGACTGAGAAAAGTAAACAGTAAATCTGACTGGCTATGAGGGAACATTATTTTTGTAATCTCCTTCGCTAGCTATTACACAATAACATTTGTTCTTCTTCTCGCATTGCTTGGTATGATTCATCATCTCAATCTAATTCTTAATCTACTCGCTATATATACTCTTGACATATAAAACCCTATGGAAAGATAAATGTGTAAGTTATTTGAGTTTTACTGTTCTCATGCTTGATAAAAAAAAGTTTTATTATTCTATTGTAGAGCAAAGGGGACCATGAATCCCAAAGTGAATTATGCTTGTTTGTAGTACCAACTTAATTTACTATGGGGAATTGTTTAGTTACCTTTTCAAATAGCAATCCTTTTCAAATAATTGTGTGGCATGTCCTCAATGATATTGGTCTTAGCTGAATATTTCGCGCTATTAATAAATGGACACCTCTTTGCCCCTTCAGCTCCTTCTTCTCCATCTTTTCTTCACACTAAGAACATCATAATTCTTCAATTTTGAAAGCTTAAATTCTTGTTTGGGTTTCAAAATTCGAAGTTAATGGTTAACTACTGTTAAATTGTTCCAATATTGATTATTTATGCTTAAACTTTTAGTTTAAATACTAATTTAGTGATTTATTTTAAAAATCTCAAAACTCATGTTAGTCCTTAGAAATTATTGAAGAAGACAAAGTGATTTTTCTTAATTTGGAGTTATTTGACTAAATTAGTGATTGGGATCGTTTGTGTTGCTATTTGGAGGCTTTGTTTCAAATTCGAGATCATTTGGAGTAGATTCAGGGTGGTTTGATCAAAAATGAAATCGCAAATTCGAAGAACATATTTTTGAACAAAAAAGAAAAATTTCGTCTATCAAATAAATTTTGATGAATAATTTAACAGATAGGTAGATTTCAGATAGCACAAAGTTAAGCCAATCTGATAGAGTTTGGTGAACAAAGGAACAGGCACAAAATCATGCCAACCGGGTATAACTTGTGAATAATTAACAATATAAGTAGAGTAAATATAGTATAAACTCCACCGTGCCGGTAAAAAAAAAAACTAAAGAGTTGCGGGGTCCGGATGTCATTTTGTAAATATATTAAAAAACAAGGATAATATTTAAAGAACAACCTCTTATAGAGTCATTCATATTAATCACCCGGTCCTTTTCTACGGAGATGCCTTTTAAAAAAAAAATTTCTTCCAAAACCCGATATAATAGATTTAGCCAATTCGATTATTTTTCTCACAAACACCAGTTCTATGTTTAAAAAAGCAACATAAAAACTGGTTGTTGTTTGCAGATCACAACGTACACAAACCCCAATAGTGATATAAAGCATGATAAAATCAAGGTAACATCAAAACCAAAGGAAAAGCAAATAATATTGAGTGGAGAAGAGAGGAAACGGGGCTTAAAACATGCATGAGCACAGTTTATCCTTTTCTAAGAAAAGGACTTCACTTCACCGTATATTGTCCCACCACCCATATGTATCTTTTTATTTATAATAATATAATAATAGGGTTGTGAGTACCAACTTCTAGCTTCAATCGGTGCCTTTATTGCATATATAGGATGATACTTCCCATCCTCCTTTGTCCTTTGGGTCAAGTCCCACACACTCTATTTTCCATGTTTCTACAACCCCACCTCTTTGTGTTTTTTTATGATAATAATGATGCACCAATCAGTTTGTGTGCACATTGGCGATACCATTGAATACCTTGTTTTATACCTGGATCTGAGGAGGGTGGTGTGTACGTAAATATTACCTCTACTTTTAAGAAAGTAGAAAGATGTTTCCGGTAGACCCTTAGCTCAGGAAAGATAAAAGGAAGAGGCAACAAGTAAAATCGAAGCGAAAATACCAGACTAACACTAATTAATGCAATCAGAAAACTGAAATGAAAGAAACAATAAGTAATAACAAAAATCGGGGAATACGAAATAACATGACTGACAACAAGAAAACATTAATTCTCACCACTACGTCATTTGCTAGTAAATTAAAATAGCACGGGCTAGCCATTTTTCGGACTGGTAATCGAAAAATAGTCAGTGTTTGCGAAATTATTAAAAAACACGGAAAGTTCCAGCATAATATACGGGATTATGAACCTCCTGCGTATAAACTTCCAGCATATTATATTGGAACTCCAGCACATGAAAAATTCCAGCATAATATGCGGGATTATGAAGCTCCTGCATATAAACTTTCAGCATATTATAATGGATTATGCTAGAAGCTCATATGTAAAAAATTAGAACTCCAGCATATTATGCTGGAATATTTTCGGATTTTTAAAGAGTATTTTGCTTAAATTTTATCTTTACATGAAAAGTGACTAATTTCGATTACTTTTAAAATTGTGGCTATGTTTCAATTACCAGCTGTAAATATTACTATTTTTGATTTTTACCCCATTTGCTACTTATTAATAAGGGTCCGTTATTTAGATTAAATCAAAAGACCAAAACGAACATTTTTTGTTATTTGGTTTGAGTTTGTGGTTTTTTCGTTTAATGTTGGGTGAATGATTTTAAAATTTGGTTTTTGGTTTTAAGAAAATAATATATATATTATTTTTATGTAAAAAATATTTGATTCTTAGTATGGTTAGTAAAGAAATCAGCTAGCATTAAATATTATTAGGATTTAGGTGTGCAAGCTTATCCTAGTGTACTTGTTATTATGTTATAGGAGACCATGACTATTTAACTATCTCATCAAGCATGTATTACTATCTTATTAATGGCGTTCATTATTTTAATCATGTGAATTGAATACAAAAAATTTAAGCGATTTGACATTACTACCTCTCATTTTTATACTTAATCATAAATATAATTGTTCGATTATATTAAATTTATATTATCTTATATGACATAACAGAATAACCGAAAAATCAAACTGAAAAAAAAAATTGTATTGGTTCGAATTGGATGGCAAATTTTTTTAAATATAAAATCAAAAAACCAAAACCGAATAATGCTAAAATAACATGAAAAAACGAATGCATGCCCATACTCATTAATGTCATCCTCCATAACGCAATGACTCTAAATCCTCTTCCAATGTGCTATCAAAATGTAGATGTTTATAAACCAAAAACCTCAAGAATTCTTCACAGCTATTTTACAGCTTAAAATTACCTACTAAATTTTCAGTTTAGTATACATTAAGGACTTGGAAATAGAAATTGAAAGATAGTTACAATAATTACAATAAGCAACTTTCTAGCAAAGTTATAAGGTAGAATTAATCAGGCATTTCTTCTCATTAAGTAAAAGTTTGAAGAAATGCCAATATTACAAAAGGAGCAGAATACCTTGACAGGTTAAGAGATATCTAGTAGTCGAGAGTAGCAACAGACATGATGCCAGAGGTCATATTCCTAGATTCCGAGCGATTTGCAAAGTCATCACAGCTATTATTTGATGACCTAGACATGGATACTGAGTTCAAAAGCTCGAGACCTTGTCTTCCCATCTGCTGCACGTCGTGAGGTGAGAGTATTTTAATACACCATACGCTGTTGACGAACTCCCTGAAAGGCAAGGAAATATAATGTACCTCAGTTAGAGCAAGCCTTGACAACAACAACCCAGTATAATCCCACTAGTGGGGTCTGGGGAGGGTAGTGTGTACGCAGACCTTACCCCTACCCTGTGGTAGAGAGGCTGTTTCCGATAGACCCTCGGCTCCATCCCTCCAAGAACTCCCCACCTTGCTCTTGGGATGACTCGAACTCACAACCTCTTGATTGGAAGCGGAGGGTGTTCACCACTAGAGCAACCCAATCTTGTCTTAGAGCAAGCCTTGAATCTTGGCAAAATTACTTTTTTACATACTATGGGGATGGGAATAGAAGAGTTACTCGAATGTCAGACAAACTTGCGAAAACAAAATGAATGTTGAAGTCACTATCCCTTCTTGATTCAACTAGTTATTCCTACTCCCTCTGTGCCAATTTTTGTGACGATGTTTGACTTGGCACGGAATTTAAGAAAGAAAGGAAAACTACCGAAACGTGTCGAAAACAAGTCATAGATATTTGTAAGGCTATAAATTATCTCATTAAGGATAAAGTAGTAAGTTTAAAGTTAAATTGTTTCTAAATAAGAAAGTATGGCATTCTTTTTGCATAAATTGGGACAGGGGGAGTAGTTGTTTGTGAAGTTCCTGTGAGTTAGTTATGGTTGAAACATGAAAGTGCACATTAGCTCTGGTCAGGCAAGAAAGGTTCTTAAAAAGAGAAGCAAGGATAAGAACTCACGGCCAGGGATCGTCACCGAGGAGAAGCACATCATTCTCCCTGTCAACAAATACAAGCTGCCAGCCTGATCTCAAAGGATCCTCCAGTAAGCCTTCAAGGCCAAACATCCGTGCAAGCTCACTTCGCAGCTCATGGTAGCTGCTAAACTTGGTGATGTCTAATGACCTTCCGAAGGACCCTGATTTATAGACCTGCATAATAGACAAACGAGATTACGAACAATGAAAGCAAAATTTAAACAAACAAAAGCATGCTTCTTTGCAGTATTGCACAAAAATATATCTACTAAAACAGAAGACCGGATTTTCCACATCATCTCCACAAGGCTATCACCTTTATCCTCTGCGTCCCCACCTCCCCCTCCGAAATTTATCCATGTGATTCCTCATCTCCTTATTCTAGTATAAAATGTAATTTGGCTATATTAGAAAAATAAATGTTGCTACCTCTCATGGAATTTGTCCTGGAAATCGTGACATAATTATATTGATAAGAGGGGAATCTACATACCATTCACCAGCGACCCCATGCCCCAACCCCCGGGAAATGAAACAAAAATGCAAGGAGTCATGGGGTGCTTGGCCAGGGTATGTTCCCCCATAAGACAAATAAAAAAGTTGCTAGTATTTACACGAAGGCAAATTACCTTAACAAAGGTGTTATGTGGGCTTTCTTGTCCCGCATTTTCAGAAGTCTGTGTGAAACCTGGTACATTAATGCAACCAGAGAGTGCCATAACTGGATTTTGAGAAAAATCATTGCCCGCATTACTTAGGTAGTTGGAAGAAGCAAAGGGCACATTTGTTGACTCACAATCGCTAACAACTCCCCTAAGGCTTCGCATATCGCTCTGCATAAGAGATGGGGAATCTATATTGAACCCAAACAAAAGATGATTGTGGGGATCATTGTTCCCTTCTTGACCTACGGGGCAGTCCCTACCTGGGAACGTTGGCAAAGAAAGAGCATTTTGAGATACATTTTTGTTGGGTGTTCCCGACTGATCAATGTAGGGTGACATACGCTGTGAAGATGCAGAAGGAAGAACAGGATCGACAGCCACCCTCTTTGGTGGCCATCCGGTAGGAGATAGTAAGGAGCTCGATCTAGGAACACTGACAAGCTGGGATGGTTCATCCCGGGTAACTGCACCCGATAGGCTGTGCAGTGGATTAACAATTGAGTTGGTGGAATGATTCACATTTGTGTCAGTGAAGCTTTCCTGTTGCGTAGAACAGAATGCTTGCAATGATGTCTGTTGTGATTGAGAGCTCGAGTCCAGCTGTCTAATTGCTTGCTGTTGCTGCAGAGGAGGCTGCTGCTCCTGAGGAGATTGTTGTTGCTGCTGATGGATAGTGTTGGATGAATTTTGATGCAGCATTTGTTGCTGAAAAATATGAGGCTGCGATACAGGTTGCACTTGGGACTGGCCCTGTGCCATGCTCGGCAGAAACGCTGTTTGGCCTTGAGACTGTTGAAATAACTGTGGATATAGTAGTCCGGAAGTGTTGTTGGTGACACCATTGGATTGCTGAAGTTGCAGAAGCGAAGTGAGAGCCTGTTTAGAGGGATCCACAGACCTCAAATCTTGAAGGGCACCAGCAGCCATAGCTTGATAAATATCCATTTGCATTCCACCTATTGGGACGTCAATTCTGGGTTGCATCCAAGGTGTGACTCCAATTCCCTGAAAATTGATAGATTGGGTTCCACCATCTCCAACATCACGGAGCCACATCATAGGATTCATTACCATGTCATCATCCTTCATCCCTTCATGCAATAATATAGAGAATGAAAACACATTAGATCAAGTCAATACAGTTCCCCCAACTAACCAACCCGAAGCTTCAGACAGATAAAAACAATGTGATGGGGAAAGGGGTCGAATCCTAATACCACTTAATGCCGGGAATCCAGGAGGCCATGATCGCTTGAGTCTCAGAGGAAATGGCGATGGATACATAGGGAATGTTGTTAAAGGTTCGACTTCCCATAGGGAAACTCTTGGTTGCCTTTCCCCAGCTGTAGACTCGTCCCAGCCAACCTGAATGAACAGATTCAAGCTTCATTAACACATTGCAATAACAACAACAACCCCGTGGAACCCCACAAGTGGGGTCTGGGGAGGGTAGTGAGTACGCACACCTTACCCCTACCCCGAGGGAGTAGAGAGGCTGTTTCCGAAAGACCCTCGGCGAAGACGAAAAGAGACAAATACATCAGTACCATCAACAGAAACCATAGAAATAATAACAGCGACATAAGAACCAGAAAATATATGAAAAGCAATAACAATAACAAGTAAATAAGGCATTAACACATGGCAATAGATATTAGTATTTTGAAGATGCATGATTTAAGCAATGATTAGCATACCTTAACTGAACGCCAATGTGAGTTTGGCCAACGAACAGGATCCAAATCACCTATGCCAGTTATAGTGCCCATGTAACTGAAATACAAGGTGAATACTCAGATGTCGAACTTGAGTTCCCACAACTTTTAACTCAGTGTTAAGGCATCCTTGCAAGTACCAAGAACAAGAATATGAACCACAAATAAAATAAGTGTGATAACCTACCGACGAACACTAGATTCTTCAGTTTCAAATAACATTCTGAAGCGCATGCCTACAGAAATGCGAGTATGATACACTGCTTTGACATACTTGGCAAGAGGTACAACAAAGTCTGAAGGACAAGACCTATATCAATGCATGCCAGCCAAAAGTTAGAATATAACTACTATGTGAGTAATAGGTTGATCATTTTACAAAGGCACAAACCTCGGATTATAAAAAATGGTGAATCTGCTATTAGTTGCTGCTGCATGAGCTGCAGCAGCCAAAAGACCCAAATGCATGCTGTCACTTGATAAAACTGAAGACGGCATCACAGTTTGGGACCGATTGGCACGTCGAATACCAAGAAATAATTGATTCTTCTCATTCCTACAAAAAAGAAAGCATGACAATTTTAAATATTGTCTACGCTATACACGACTGGTCTAATTTAGAAATGATAAAGTGACTCTGGAGACAAGAAAATAAAACAAAAAGTAATTTCACTGAGCAAAAAATCATTGACCTTAACACTTAATTGGCTGTTTAACATGTGTGACAAAGTAGAAATCTTCACTTAATTGGCAATTAACATGTGTGACAACAGTAGAAATCTTATATATAGTTTACTGAGGAATTTGATTAACTCAAGGATTTGAAACTAAATTCAGCAGTATCTATTTGGAGAACCACAAATCCGTTCAAAAGGCTCAGTAATCTCGAGCATTATTATCCAAGTTGCAAAGTTAGGACCACTTATGTCAAAGTGCTGTTAAAAGCAAAAGAAAGAGAACATGCGATCTTTTCCTGACAGCCTACCAGATGAAAATGATTGAATCACCAGCAACAAGTCTTTTTGCACTTACAAACACACTCCAACCAGTTGTAAGAAGATGCCTCTTCGGCTGACCTGTCACAAGAACAAAAGCAACAAGTATCTATGAGAAGGAAGCTTTGCCAAATTTACTATTACTCAGTGAACAATATGTATATTTTGGCTAAGGTAGTATCTTAGAAGTATGACACTTATATCAAGAACTCACCCCTGAAAATATGTCTAAATTTCCACTCATTGTCATGCAGATCCCTAGCGATCAACTCTTGTACAGGAGGCTGCTGAGAGAAGTCCTGAATATTGAAGTCATTGCATCAATAGACGCTTCAAAAGGTTAAAAAAAAGACCTCGGTAATTCATCATCTGATGTCACAGAAACTAAGAATGCGTTGTTACCAATGGAGGAAAAACTTTCTCTGCTGCACGGCGAGGTACTGAAAATCCACCATGAGTACTTGTGTCACTTGCTGTCAATGTTTTACAGAAGTAATTTGTTGGCTGTTTACTCGGGGTACCCAAATCTAAAGGAAGGAAAGATGCCTCCTTTTGCTCTTCCTGCAATGAAAGAAAATAAAGGCATTCCAAAAATCAGGACGCAAACAGAAACTAGAAATTCAGGACAATTTTCTATTACAGAGTTTACATACAGGGCTCAAAGGTTGCAAGGTCATTTGAGCGTAAACCTCATCAGTCTCCACATCAGCCTGAATTGTATCAGAATTAAATTCTTTAAATGGAGCAATAATACAATTCAAACTCAGAGATTTGCTTCTAATAAGTGATAAGGCAACGAAAAAAACAGGCTACTTACGTGCATGGTCACATTGTGAAGCTGGCAAATAAGTTGTGGGGCCAGGCTTGGGTAATTCGGAATATGAGCCTCAGCTTCCTTGTTTGTTGATGCAGTAACCTGCAAAGTAGATCATTCAAAGTAAAGATTTCCACTTTAGTATTATATTAGTTCATAAATTAGGCACAATCCACAGATGCAATCCAAAGTCTTAGAAAAGCTAACAGTTGATTCCTTCTTCAGAAAAACTATAACTTTAAAGAAAAACAACAACAACAACAAGACGGCCTTTAAGTTTCAAATGAGATTGGTTCATATTAGTAGACAATGTTTGTTCTGCTTTGCAGATCATCTCAAAATAAAGCACTACCGAAAAGAGAATGAGAATAACCGCCATCCTAGAAAGACATCTAGGAGTGCACTGGGCAGTGGCGAAGCCAGAAATTCCCTCAAGGGTGTTTAACTTGAAAGAAGTGAAGAAAGTTCCCCGACAAAGGGTGTTCAATATATGTTATATACCTCTAAAACATAATATTTTACCGTTATACATAGTGCAATTTTTCGATAAATTGACCACTCTTAAGACAATGTAGCTTCGCCCTTGGCATTGGGAGTTATAAATGCTCATAAACACCAGTAAAGAAATCTAGGATGATAGAAATAGACCTGCTCACTATGCCCTTGGGGGAAATACACCACTCTGCTTCCAACAGCTGGTAGGGAAACAAGAGGTCCCGCGCATGCGTGCCAAAGCTCAGAATTCAAACATTTATTCTCCCCTGCAATTCAAATCACATTGAGAACATAAATTCTTCAAGAACTAGATCAGCAAAATTCTTATTTTCCTCTTATAGAGAGATTGAAGATCAAGAAAGTATTTCGAAACATTTTTAAAAAAAGAATATTCAAAAGATTGATCCATATAGCCGACCCCAACTTGCTCGGAATTGAGGCGCAGTTGTAGTCTTAAGTTAAAAAGATTCCGGTTATAGAAAGGTAGGGAAAAAGGATGTTAAGTTATGTTGCGCGGACTCTCCAAAATAATGTTGCACCCCTGTCCGATCTATTTTTGGAGGATCCAACACGCAACCGGCAACATTTACGGAGAGTCCGAGCAACATAGATGTTAAGCATACCAAGCTCAAAGCTATCAAAAAACTCACTCATGATAATAAGAACCAGGTGATCCATAAGAGAAAAAGGTATGGTAAAAAATCAATATAAAGTTGAAAGAGCAAGGGTGAACATCTGTACAGCAATTCTGTAGACTGATCTCAAACTGAAAGCAACTTGTAGATAAAAGAAATGAATATAAAGAAACATTAGAATTAAAATAAATAGAGGAAAGGACATGTGAAAGAAAATTAAAGCAAGAATAAAAGAGAAAAGGAGATAGATTTATGACATCTCAATTATGCTTAAACAGACAAGTTCTTATATGCAACTTAAAGAAGAAGATCAGCTAAGTTTCTAAAGGAAGTAACACATATTGCAACATTCTCTTACAACAACAACAACAAAAAATCAGTGAAATCCCACAAATGGGATCTGGGGAGGTCAGTGTGCAGACAGATCTACACCTGGCCTAGGGAGGCAGATAAGCTATTTTCGAGAGACTCTCGGCTCGAGTAAGAATAGAAACAAGCAAATATCAACAACAAAGGACAGAAAAATGATATCAACACTGTATAAACCGGAAAAATAGATGGAAGAAAGCAATAGCGGCAGAAAAATGATATTGCAACATTCTCTTAAAGATTGAAAATGACAACTTTACCTTCAGGAGACTGCTGATTGGAACCAGCAGAAGAAAGCCTCATTTCTGCAGCTTCAATCCTTATTCTACTTAATTTGAAGCCACCACAAATAAAAAAGGACCTAAGAAAAGCTAAATCCACAGCACAAATAAAGAAAATTCTTGTACTCAAAACATCCAAAAATAGCTTCAACTTTATCCCATTCAACCCAAGACAAAACTCAACGCTAGTGAATTACAGCGAGTGAAATATCAACCAAAACCTGTTTCACTACAGAGTACAAAAGCTTTCAGCTTCATCAAATACCAACTTAAAATCTTAAATAAAAATCCAGTCTTTACACAAGAAAGATCCAAATTACAAGCTTTAAACTACCAGAATTCAACTCAGGAAAACTCCAAATACAAAACCCATAATTTTCTTCTCATAATTCAGCAGAAAATGCCCACCAAATTTGCATTTGAACCTCATTCATTCATATTACCTAACATCACAAGCTCTTATTATGAAAAATACATGTACTTAGTAACTCCAAAAAAGAGTATATACGTTCAAAATATGTATGTATAATGGTAGAAATAGCTAAGGTCGGAAATTTTGAGGTAATGAATGATGCTGAAAAGTGACAGCAAAAGGAAGTGGGGAGAGGCAATAACAACTACTACTATATACTATATACTCCTTTGAAGTATGTGTACTGTATATGTCTTCTCTCTCTTTACTCTTCTCTTGTCTACAATGGATTGAAGTTGTATACAGTTTATATTTCTTTCACTACCAATAATTCAATGGAGTGTAACATATTATAACACATAGTACTATTATGCACAATACCTCGAGATCTTTCTAAACTTCATAAAGTACATCTTATTCCACTTCATTCTTTATAAATTAATGTGATCAAGAGGATGAATAAACTCTTTTTTTGGCCGTGAAATAAAAAATTAAAAATCAACTTTTAAGTAAGTATTTTTCGATGTTAATAATCACATAATTATATATAATAATTTATTTATTTCATAATCTTGCTTCTTCTTAATATAATATATATTTTATTCTAATTTTGAATTTTCTTTTATATCATCTTTAGATCAATAATTTTTGTTTTAATTGTGTATTTATTCCTTCAAGTCAAATGAATAAAAAGACTTGATTTTTAACCAAAATAATGAAGTTTTAATGGTATATTTTTTAATTTTTCTTTAGATACAATAATTTTTTTGTTCTAATTGTGTATTTTTTTTCTTTCTTATGGCCAAATCTGTAAGACAAGTTTGCTAAAGCTCCATTATTTTTAGCCAAATACAAAACTTTTATCCACAATAATGGAGTTCTAATTATGTATTTGTTTTAATTATTTTTTATTTAAGGCTATTAAACGGCTTTCTTAAGGGGGTGTGCAACAACACAAAGAATAACTCATTCTCATATCAATGAGTACATGGCAAGTCTTTAGCATAAGCTTCAATCACCTGACTATAGTTAATTTGTAACGATCCGATCGATTGCTTTGAGCATTTGCATTTCGCCCGGTAGTTTGAGGGAACGTGTAGCTTTATATGATGTATTACGATGAGTGTATCGTCGGTTTCAATTTTCAGGTGATTCGGAATTAGTTTGGAAGAATGAATTTCATTGTTGAAACTTTAAGTTAGAAGAGTTGACAAAGTTTAACTTCTATGTGTTTGACCCCGGATTTGAGTTTTTATGATTTTGCTAGGTCCGGATGGTGATTTTGGACTTGGGCGTAAGCCCGGATTCGCATTTGGATATTTCTAGAAGGTGTCGGCACATTTTGGCGAAAATTGGAAAGTTTAAGGTTTGGAAGGTTGAGAGGTTGACCGGGAGTTGACTTTGTTGATATCGAGTTCGGAATTTAATTTCGGAAGTTGGTATAACTCTGTTGTGTCATTTGAAACTTTCATGCAAAATTTGACGTCATTCCGTGTTGATTTGACATGTTTCGGCACGAGTTTTAGAAGTTAAAAGTTCATAAGTTCATTAAGTTCGATTTGAGGTGTGATTTATAGTTTTGATGTTGTTTGATGTGATTTGAGGCCTCGAGCAGGTCCGCGTTATGTTATGAAACTTGTTTGTATGTTTCGACGGGGTCCTGGGGGCTCGGGTGTATTTAAGATGGGCTACGGGCCATTTCTCCATGTTATTAGACTGTTGTTTTATTGGTGCCTAATTTCCTTGTTCGCGATCGCGTGGGCTGTTTTGTGACTAACCAATTTGCCTTCTTCGCGTTCGTAGTGCGAGGTCTGCGATCGCGTACATGTGGGTTCTGCTTTATCGCGATCGCATTTGTTATTTCGCGATCGCGTAGTAGGTGACCATGTTGGTAAGGCCAGGTTTATTGTTCTTCTCGTTCGCGTCATATGGTTCGCGATCGCGTAAGAGGAGGTCGCTGTGAACCGCGTTCGCATCCCTTGATTCGCGTTCGTGTAATGCTTTTGTGGAGGGCAGCGTTATTTCTTCTTCGCGATCGCATACGTTCTTCTGCGGTCGCGTAGTGCATTTTTGGGCAGTAGTTGTTTCTTCTTCGCGATCGCATTTGTATTTCCATGATTGTGATGTGCAAATGCCTGGGCAGCAGAATATTAATTCTCAATCGAGTGTTTTGTTCCATTTATCATCTTTTGAGCTAGAGACCTCGGATTTGAGCGATTTTTGAGGGGTTCTTCACAGGTCGTAAGTGTTCTTTATCCGGAATTTATTATATTTCATGATTTTATAATTATTTTTACCATTAAATATGATGACCCGATAGGTCATCTAGAGATTTAAACCTTAATTCTGTGTTTCGAACCCTCAAGTATCTCATTTTAGCCTTCTTTGATTTGCGTGCATAGTCCGTATCTTTTTCCGGGTGGCTTTTATGTTAAAAATTGATAAAATTTGAAATTTTACCTTAAAGATCCATTTGAGTTGGCTTTGGTCAATGTTTTAAACAAACGGACCCGGATTCGTATTTTGACGATCCCGGTGGGTCCGTATCGTGATTTGGGACCTTGGCGTATGCCCAGAATCGAATTCGGAGGTCCCTAGCTCGAGTTATCGTATTTTGCCGAAAATTTAAAGTTTAAAGAAATTATGAATTTAAAGAATTGACCAAAGTTTGACTTTATTTCTATCGGGCCTGAATTTTGGTTCCGGGGCTTGGTATATGTTCATTACTATATTTATGACTCGTCCGCAAAATTTGGTAAAAAATAGAGTTGGTTTGACTTGATTCGGACGTCCAGTTATTAAAATAAAAATTCCAAAGTTTCATTGAAAATTTCATTTTATTTGATGTTCGATTCATAGTTTTAGATGTTATTTTGGCGATTTGATCGCGCGAGTGAGTTTGTATGAGGTTTTTGGACTTGTGTGCATGTTTGGTTTGGAGCCCTAAGGGCTCGGGTGAGTTTCGTATAGGCTATGGAGTGAAATTGAACTTAGAAAATAGCTGGTGCTCTACTATTTCTGGTGCAGGTCTTAGACCTTGCAATTGCGAGGGTCTGGCTTCGCATTTGCGATAAGGCACTCAACCTGTCAGGTTCCCAATTGCGAGCTACTCCCCCGCAATTGCGAAGAATAGTTGGGCACCATGGTTTCGCATTTGCGAAGTAGTATTGGGGAGGGAATTGCGGAAGTCCCAAGTTCGCAATTGCGAACAAAACCGTCGCATTTGCGATGGTAGCAGAGATGGGAGACCTTCGCAATTGCGAAGGATTTCTCGCATTTGCGGGGTTCGCAATTGCGACATCTGCGCTTGGACTTAAGCTAAGTTAGACGAGATTTTTCTCATTCTTTCAAATTTTCAAACCTAGAAACCTTAGAGGCGATTTCTTTAAGAGCTTTTCTTCCCCAATTCATTGGTAACTGATTTTAACCTACTTTCTTTCAATTACCAATTATATTTTATAATATTTCAACCTAAAATCTAGGATTTTGTATGGTAGAAATTGGGGATTTGGGTAGAATTAAGGATTTTTGTAAAATTGAAATTTAGCCTCAAATTGAGGTCGAATTTCGAAATAAATTACATAACCGGGCTCGGGAGTGAATGAGTAATCGGATTTTGGTGCGAATTTTGGTTTTGGATCAAGCGGGACCGGGAGTTGACTTTTCAATAATGATCTAAATTGAACCTTTCTCATTTGTGGGTAGTTCTTAAGGCTTATTTTGAATCGTTGGTTGATAATTTGCTAGATTTGGTTGGCTCGGGGGCTTGGTAGAAAGGTAAAGTCGTGGTTGAGCTGTGAGTTGATTTTTGGAGTGAGGTAAGTATCGTGGTTGACCTTGACTTGAGGGATTAGGACTTATTTGCCTATTTGCTACGTGTTTAAATGTTGGGTACAACGTATGTGTGAGGTGACGAGTACTTATGTGTTGTTCTTGGGTAAAGCATGCGGTTGAAACTTGTTTCTCGTGATTTATTTCCTTCTTTGATTATGATATCCATGACTAGACTAGTTTATTACTTAATTGATCATTCTTTCCGTATTTATGAATTTATAGTGATAATTGAATATTATTAGAAGTTGAGGCTCGACATTGTGGAAACGTTGTTGATATAGGTTTATTCTTAACTATTCTTTCTCCCAAATGTCATATATTCATTGTTTCATAGTAAAGGAGAGAGTGTTAATACACGAAGGGTGATGTCGTGCCGATTATTGTTCCATTTGTTGATTTATACATAGTAAGGAAGAGAGTTAAAGCACGAAGGGTGATGTTGTGCTGCATTTATCATTTATCATTTTATGATGAAATTGAGAGTGAAAACATGAAGGGTGATGACGTGCCGTATTTATTATTTTATGGAGAGATTGAGAGCAAAAGCACGAAGGGTAATGCCGTACGAGTTATATTCATTATGTTTATCCGTTTCATTGACTAAAGATTTATTAATTGTTTCATGTTGTTATTTACTGTTGTAGTTACCGTATTTTGTACCCCTTTTGCATGTCCCCTCCCAATAGTACATGTTAAATCCTTATTTGTTGTTATGTTGTGCGTATATTTTCGTCTGTACAGGTTTAATTACGTGGGTGTCCTGTCATAGACTCGCCACTACCTCGTCGAGGTTAGGCTCGATACTTACGGAGTACATTGGGTCGGTTGTACTCATACTAATCTCTGCACTTCTTGTGCATATTTTGGTACTGATCCCAGTTGTTTGTGAGGCGCATCAGCTCAGATTAGCTTATTTGGAGACTCGAGGTAGATCTGCTAGCGTCCGCAGACCTTGAAGTCCCCTTCCTCCTTCCTTATTTACTGTTCATCTCATTCGAGACAGTTGTATTTATTTCAGATTTTATTTGTAGAATCTCTAAAAATTCGTGTACTTGTGACTCCAGATCCGGATTGTACTAGATATTGGATTATTATATTATTTTGTACTTCATTTTAGCTTCATTTCTGTATGATTAGTTAAATTGTTCAAAGTATTTAAAATGGGTAAAAGAATTACTCTAACGTTGGTTTTCCTAATAAGTAAAATGTTAGGTGCTTTCACGGTCCCGAAGGTAGGAATTCCGGGTCGTGACATTAAATTTGTGAATTGAATGAGAGAAACTGGAATTTTTGAAAAATCTTTCAAAAATATAAAATGAGGATTCGAGGGGCGATTTGATATCGGAATTTCATAATTTTGATATGGTTAGACTCGTATCAGAGTGGGTGTTCTAATTTTGTGAATTTTGTGAATTTTATCGGGTTCCGATGTGCGAGCCCAGGTTTGACGTTTTGGGTTGACTTTTTAGTTT